TGATTGCCTGGGGTTTGTAGATTAGTTTTTTTTAATAAAGCTTTGGTTCTTACATGACTGTAATAGTAATAATTTGAGTTTTAAACAGGATGGTCACATTCAGGAGACCAATGCTGCTTTAATCTCACAGCTACGTGGTGTTGGTGTGTTGTGTGTGTGTGTGTGTTCAGGCTTTGAGGGCGGCGACCCTCCTGTCTTCCTGGAATGCGCCGGCTCTGCAGACTGTTTTTCCTGGCTCACCGTCCTTAGAGACGCCAACACCGAGATGCTCAGGCGACACATCGCGCATCTCCGCTCGCTCATCAACACACACAGCACCCAGGAACACACACACGCTGCCTCAGACTGCGGCGCGGGAGAGAAAAACCTGCAGGATGCTGGAGGTAAACATCTTAATTACCGTCAACTGATACAGATACTAATTATTAGTAATCAAGGAAGGAAGATTTGCAGTAAAAGATTCAGCGAATAACCAGGAATGTAACTAAAGTACTTAAATGATCTTCTATGATATTGATGTTTAAAATGTTCGGCTCAAAGAAAACTCAAACGCTTCCTAAACTAACAGGATGATCGAAGTGTTTTGGTTTCACTTTTGTGGAGCCGTTCCTGCAGCTGCATCCTGGATACTTTTTATTCCTGGAAAATGTGCTTCATAAAGCCCCCCCCCCNNNCCCCCCCCCCCCCCAACATTTCCTACAGCTACAAATGAAAAGCATTTAACTGTATTTGTATGGGATCGGTACTCGGTGTCGGCTGAAATTCAAAGTTCAGGTATTAGAATTGATATATCGGGAATCGATCAATCCATCTGTCAAAATATCTGTAATTTATTTTATGGGCAAACGAAAAGGAAAGTTGGAAAAAGGTTCAATATTTGATCCGATAATCGTTCTATTCCTGATATTAAAACTACTATTAGATGTTTTTGACCATATTAATTGACCAGCAGATCATAACTTCAATATTTTCAATATTTTCAATAATATATCTAAAATAAACAAATAACTTTAATAACAATAAATAAACCATCAAGTTTTAGTTCTTTAATTGGTTAATTGGTTAAAATCCAAAGTTAGTGGATGTAATAAAATGTCTCTGCAAAGCCTGAAGTCTGATTGTGATCTATTAAACTGTTTCTCTTCACGACTGTCTAATATTGAGAAGTTGTTGTAGTTGGTTTGCAGAGCAGAGTCCGTTATAATGGAGACCAAGTATCTGTTTTTATTTTATATGTCTTAATTTAATAAATACAGTAGTAAGTATTATCTGTTTGTGATCATTGATCCTTTATGTTTTGGGACTTTGAATTAAGTTGTTAGCACTGCAGTTGTTTGCGGTGCTGCAGAACCGGAGGTGCAGAAAACACACCAATTCTATTACAGTATTACGTTTATTTTTGTAGAAACAAACACCAAGAAGAGCTGCTAACAGAAACATACCACAGACATTAGACTGACTCACACAAGCAGATATTTCAGCCTGCAGTGACTTTATGAGCTGAATCATGTGGAAACTTGTCCGTCAGCAAGAGTTCAGAATCTGTCAGCTTTAAGTTTCAGGCCTCAGTTACTGAAAGGGGAACAGATGTTATCATTTAAACCTTCTAACTGTAGTTTTAATGACATTATATTGTGTAAAGATAAAGGCAGATTCACTGAAATAAAACCTCACTGAGCAGGTTTACACTCAAAAAACAAACATGTAGTTTGTTTCAGTTTTATTTAAGAAACCTTCGGTTTTCTGACGTAAAAAACTCGAGTTTATTGACGTTTTATTACAGTTCTGTTTGCAGTGTTTTCAGTGATTGTTGGTGTAATGTTGTTTTGTGTCCACAAGGTGGAGTCGAACCTGCTGCTAAAGTCTCACCACTGCACCTGAGTGTCGGTATGTCACACACACACACACACACACACACACACAGAGTAACTAAGTACATTTCTGGACAAAAGGATTTTAAAGGATTATGTATTTTTTGTTTATTATGAATTATCTGTCTTTTGTATGTTAACATGGACTTTTTGTTTATGATTCTTAGGAAACAAACAAATAAAGTACATTTACTTAAATACAGTTTAGTGGTATTATTTCTACTTTATTTTTGTACTACATTTATTTGATTGCTTTTGCAGTTTAATAAATAAAATAATAAGAAATGATCAACAAATTAATTATGACGTATTATTATGGATGAAAATGAAACTCTATTGATCCTGGGGGCGAAATTCATATTATATTATAGTAGTATCATATATATAAGTAATTCAGTGACAATAATAATAATAATAATAAACTGTATTTATAAAGCGCCTTTAACATAACTTTAACATTACTGATTCACTGCAGATACTTTAACCAAAGTAAAGTTTTGAATGCAGAACCTTTACTAAATATTTCAACACTGGTATTACACACACACACAGACACAC